TAAGAACTAGACTATCTAGGGTTATCGATATGGCGTCCAATAGAAATCCATAAAAATTGATCTACGGCACGTGATCTAAGAATTTGTTTCGCCATGGCTAGGGTACTACTTTACTGATACGTGACATTTCAGAATGCAAATCAAAATTTAAATTTCATTTATTAAAATGATAACGTAATTTTTTAATATATATATATATAAATTATTTAATATTTTTCTTCACGACATTTGAATATTTTAACCCTGTAATTCATGAAGTTTGATATATTCGACTCCAATTTGTATACGATTCGTATGAATACGTTTGATACCTTCATTTTTGATATATTCAAATAAATTATTAATTGCCTTTTCGATTTGTTCTTTGGATTCTCTTTTGTTTAAAAGAGGTTTGTTGGTATCATTTAATTAACGTGAATTAGCAATGTAAATTTGTGTGAATTAACTATTCAATAACGATAATTACAGATAGAAAATCTTTTGGGAAAATCATAATTTATTAAAAAGTCATTATCCGAGAATTTAGTATACTTCATTCTGTTAATTCACTTCGATATCTTAATTGTCGCAAAAAGAAAATCCTGGTTTAGGCATATAATATAAATAATTTAACCATTAAAATATAGCTTTTAAAACTTCCTTTACTTAATAAAATGCACTTAAAACTACATTTATTTACTATTAAGAAGATAAATAAATTCTAACAATTAAATTAAATATAAGAGTGCCGCAAAGAGAAAACCCTGAAATCTTATCAAATAAATATTTCTGAGTTTTTCCATTGCTACACTCAAATATTTTAATTATATTAAAACATGTAAATAAAAAAAATAAATAAAATCAAGTAAATAAACAAATGAATAGAAAAATTATAAATTACAATAAATAATAACAAAACATATAGATGATTTATTAAATGTTAATCAGTGGAATTAAAACCTGGTCCTTGTTTAATAACATGCTATAGTTGCCTAATGAGTGAATAGGCTTTCTTGAACAATGCTAACAAAAAATTACTTTTTATTCTCAAATATCTTTATTTATAGTATGTATAAAATAATTATATGTAAAGATTCTTTAAAAGTAACTTTTTTTTTGTATTTATTTTACTTACAATTAATAAATAATGGACTCTCATATTTTTTTAAAAAAATTTAATATTAATATGAAAAAAGAGAACTATTTAATGAATTCATGAAAAAGAGTATTATACATTACATCCTATTGGATAGGTTATTATTTCTCACTATCAGCATTGTCAATACCATTTTTAAAAAATTTCGCATGAAGCTCATTTTGATTTTATTTTTAATAAAAATATTAGACAGCTTACAATAACATTCAGATCTCATGATGAAATTCTACCACACAAACTCAAGGACAAGTACAATTATAACCATGTTTACATCCACCAGAAATATCTGAGAGGCCTCCCGGACAAGTGCAACTAGTATAATTATAATAAGATCCTGAACAGGCACCTAAAATACTAAATATCAATAATGATGTATTTAAAATAATATAAAAGAAAAATAATACTTACAATACCATTTTGGACATTCTGTATGTGCTGGGTCAGGTTGTGTATGATCCTTTCTCTGGAAAAAAAGAAAAAAGGATACAAAAGGAAAAACAAATTCTTGAATATAGTCAAATAAGATGTCAAATCAGAAATATCTGCAGAAAAATTTCTGATAATGAAACTAATTATAATAATTCAAGGGTTCGATATATTTATTCACTTTATGAATTAACAAATTTCATATGAATTAACAAAAAAGGTAAAAGAACTAAAGAAAGATAATAAGTTTCAGTTTCTAGATTTATTGAGGAGATAGATCAAGAGACAGGTAGATGGAAACGAAATTCTAATGCAAACGAATGGAACAGTTTATTTGTAAAAGGTGAGACAGTTAAAGCACGAGTATATAAGATTATATCAGCAGAAGCATCAGGTATGAGAAAGGAATTGAGAATCAGGGATAAGATGATTGCAGCATGACGTTCCTTCATTCTTGTAATGCATTTAGGGTGGAGCGTAATAACCTCTCAATACTGATACAAAATCTGCTCACAATATATATCGATTTGGGAGGTTTAACAATATACCTATTCTGTATTGGTGCTGTCCGATATATTATAAGTTTATATTCATCCGCTCCTGGCTAGCGCGACAATGTCACGCAACTACTTATTTAGTATTATTAAAAAAAAAAATTTTTACTATAAAAAAAAAAAAGCCGCACACCCGCGTCACTGATCACTGTCCCATGATATGAAAACCAAGTATATAATTTTGTGCGGCCTTATTATTACTTTAATATAACTTTTCAAATTAAAAATTGAGAAATTGATGGGACAAAGTTGGGACGTCTCGGGACATTCTGGGGCGGGACAAGGTCAAAAAGGCCTGGGACAGTCATGTAGCTGCCCGATACGAAAGTATCGGAGCAGCCTTTTGTCTCGAATCGGTCACGGGTTGATCATCTGATGCATTG